TCACAACCATTAAAATAGAACCAACTAGCCAGCATGAAAATAGTACTACCATTAAAATAGGACCAAAAAATACATCCTTAGGCAGATTACGCATGGTCGTATCAAAAGAAAATAATACATGAACACATCAAACTCCTAGAGAATACAAGCTGCTAATATGGAATATTATGAAGGTGCACAAACAATGACACTCTAAATGATAACTTAGCCAATATCCTAGATTACTAACCTTGTTTAACTCTTAGATAGTTATAATTTAGCACAATCTAGTCTTTAATAAATTTACTTGGGCCAGAGTTGCACTACTTTTAATAATTAAAGTTAAAGAAATCACCCAGACTAATGAGAAGATAAGCTTAAACTAATCTAATTTTCATAGATATTACTCACTCTAGACTTTAGAAAAGAACAGAAATCAGAATTATGTGCAAGGATATTTTACACCATTTCACTATTTATGTTCCATTAATGGATTTAAATTAGGAACCTTGGTTCCATTCCTTTAGCTATGTCATACCAGACATGGGATATTCAACAGAAATTCCACCCAAATATTCCCAAGTGAATTTTGTTCTAATCAAAATCACTTACTAGATTACTAACTGTTTCGCGCGTGTTAATTCGCTAACAATTAAAGAGGATCAGACGATTGTGTAAGGGACGAAACCTCTTGAGACAAAGTCCCAAAAAGGGGTGTTCTTTTTATTGGCGATGAACTTTACAATTGGAAACGGAAAACAACGTGCCTCCAAGGGGCGCAAGCACACGAGTTACAGAAAAGGAAGTGTTTAAGTCTAAAAACTAAAGGAATGAAAATTACATATTCTCTGTTCGAGAGTTTTGGATTCGGTCCTTTGCTCCTAAGTTCTTTCTCCCTTTTATACTTCATAGGCGATCCCTTTGTGATTAACTGCTCTAAAAAACTACTTGATCGCCCTATAACTACCCACTTTCTTTGTAGTGGCCATTTTATCATGAAACTGTCTTTTTAACTGCTGCCATTATCTTGCATCGTTCAACCGCTTTCGATTGAACCCCTTGAGTCGTGGAACGTGATAAGGTTACTTTAGCAACTGCCTCAATAACTGCATTTCTTGATAATCATAATGCGTTATGTTTGTTGATACCTTGAGCGACTTGAAGATTTGGGCGAGACTCTGGGCGACCGTATGCCACTCTATTCGTTCAGATTCTGAGCGACTTGCAAACTTGGGCAATGGCGTTATCGTACTATTGGGCCCCTTATTCGGGCATTCACCTTGATTCGTTCAATTGGATTTCGTTTTTTGGGCTATCTGATTTGGGGATTCTCCAATTGGGCTTTACTCTCTGGGCTGTTCGATTTGGACTGAATTTTTATGTGTCAACACTAACATTATTGTTTCTGCTTTTCCTAATCTCCTGAAGGTCTCACTCATCAATATTCTCACAAGACAATTGTTAAATTGTATGCGGCGTATTTATTCATAAGGAACTGATATGGTTTGTGTAATGTTTGGAGACAAAGAAAGCAAGATGCAATCTTCTACTAATGGGTAAAAAGGAATTTGCATGGACAGTGATGACGTTCAATAAACATCACAAACTTAGACAAAACAGGATTCATACAAGTAATCAAAACTTAATAAAGAAATACTTTAGCTATCATTTATATTGTTTTTCGACTTAAAAAATGCAATATCATTGTCATTTTATTCAGGGATCGATCAAGTTTTAATTATGAGTTTGTATTCTTAAGCGTATGATTCAATTTCTCCTTTAAATGACATTAATCTACTGCTATATACGTTTCTTGATTGATTTGCTGCTATATTCTTTCTTTCTTGCAGTTACATGGAGCCGAACTGAGTTCTCTCTTGTGCCTGTCTTCTTGGATCTCGTTTATGTAAAAGGATTGGGTTGTGACTCATTTGAAGCTTTGGTTATAAAATCATTTACACAACTTTTGGACATTTTGATAGTTCTTTTTGTTGTAAATCATTTTTCTTTGGTTAGATGGTGTATATCTTTGAATTGGAGTATTTATTGTGTTTTGATGAAGTAATAGTGTATAAGATCATGCTTATCGATTGAAATGAAGTACTTTTAATTTTTTGCTGTCTTAAAGTACTTGTACATAGATTGTTGTAAATAGATTTTTAATTCATTGGTTTGCAATGAAAGAAAAATGTGAAATAATTGATAAAAAAAAAATGACATTTACTGTCAAAAATTTGTTTGCAACGTTCATTGTATGTTGCGAAAAGCCTCATTTGCAACGTTCAATGAACGTTGCCAAAACTCTTTGCTTTATGGCAACGTTGAAATCCACAACAAACACCCGAACGTTGCGATAGGTCTACGGCAACGTTTTCTGATCGTTGCAAAAGGTGATTTTTTGTGTAGTGAAAAGGGGGGGGGGGGGGTTAACCTTAAGTAACTTTGATTGAATAAAGAAATTAATTTTTTAAAAACTTTTAGTTTTACTTGATTAGAAACTTTATCACTAGTGGTCATTTTCATAAGAATAAAGATAACTATATTCCAATCATCGTTTTTGTTAAACTGCACCACATTTTATTCCAAATGAGGGTTCTCAATTTTTGTTCATTTCTTACACTTAAATGTTTTGAAGTTTTTTTTTGTCGCATTCTTATCTTATTAGCACATATTATGTAATGACAATTTCTATTTAAATATTTTGATATCTTGTTTATTGTACGAGACGTAAATTAGTCATTTTTACTCCCTTTAATGAATTTTGTGACCATTATCAAGGTCAGAATTTTTTATTAATAAAGGTTTAGGATAAGAATATGTCGAAAAATGTTGGGAACAAAACTAAAAAAATGTGCCAAAGTTAAAGGCCATCAATGCAATTAAAACGAAGTGCAAATAAAAAAAGGTGGTGTGAATATAATTACCCAAGAATAATTATATGCGCATAAGAGTTTTCTATATATACACTATCTTTTATTTTATAGTCTATTAATTTAGTATTTGAATCATTGCCCCCAATAAGGTAATTGCTGTTTGGATATCTCCTTATAGCCTGGATAGTGAATCCATCCATGTTAGGGCCTTGCGTTCGTTCATTCAGACTTAGGTCTGTTAAAGGAAATAGGGTCTGTTTCATAACTTACATAAAATAGAGGACCAACCTTAAAAAAATAAAATTACTGAGGAATTATTTTTGTCTTGCCAATTTGTTCATTCAAACATATTTCATCTTTCTCTAAGGGATAACACTAGTTTTACATATTTTTTTTGTATATTAAGGTATCCATACACTTGTATGAGTGAAACCCACTCGAATAAAATATTCGAGCGAACCCCACCCCATGTAAGTGTAGGATATTTTGATGTACAAAAAATTATATACGCCAAGCAAAGCCCTTCTCTAAGTAGATTGATTGTATTTAAGCGAAACCCAACCCATTGAATCCCATAAAAATTGTTCTAAAATCTACAGGACCACAAATTTGAATAAAACTAGCTAGCACAAATAGTGCTAGATCCCAGTTTAAGTGAAAGCATTTGATAGATCCAATTAAATAAATCATGTAACATTTAAGTGAATATATTATTTAATGTTATACCGTTGCTACTTAAACTGTTGCTGGACACCTACGATGTTAAATAACATTACTCTATGAATTTTAGCCAGCAACAATGCCAAAGTAGATGGGCATTACAATGCCGAAGTAGATGGCAATGCCCATGTGATATTATCCATAGAGTAAATTGGGAAACTAAAATCAGAGAACCAAACAAGTTTGACCGGTCCATCCATTCTCAATGAATCCAGACTCAATATCCAAAGACTGGGTTCTTTTTACAATGGGTATCAAGTGATTCTTGATGGTCTTCGAGGGAGATGACTACTTGCCAAAACTATACGGATTTCCGTGTCCTTTAATCATATACATATGACATACTTTTAATAAATTTTCTTATAATTAATTTGAGGAAACATCAATCTCACCAATTGGCCTCTTTAAAATTCAACTTAATTTAAATTTTTTTCTCATTTCCAATCAAAAAATCTTCAATAAAATAATATTATACACAAATCGAAAACTTTTCATTCTTTTACAACCATTCATATTTCGAAAAAGCACTATTCCCCCATTATAAACCCAAATAATGGGGTTCAAACGGTGGCTAAATGTTAGTGACTTGATTATCATGATATATAACACAAGGTTATCAAAAAGAATTGAATCGATCAGACAATTGAAAAATATGAGATAGAGAAAAAAGACGTTACACATAACATTTATACATATAGAAGTTGCAAAATCAACACATGGATGCCATAATGTTGTTTTATAGAATTATCAGATGACGACTTGTTGGGCACTAAGTTCGCAACTGCCATTTGATTGGGTATAATTCTCTTCGGATAAAATAATATAAAAGAGAATTAGAAAAGGGAGAACCAAAATGTCACTTTCAAGAAAAGATTCCTCGAGCATGAACATACATATGACACAGCACGTGAAGCCATGAGGGAGAGTCAGCAATTATTTATGAGAAAAATAAAGGTACATTCAATATGAAAGCCCAACTCTATTTAAGGGTCCTTGGATTTTTATGTAGTCACCACTCTCTCTTACTTATTTTTTTTGGTTGTATCCTAATTTTATGTGAAAAGTTCACGAATAATGATATTTAGTATCGGTGATGATAATATCGATCTAAATATCTACACTATATAGATTCATCATATAGCTTTGTATTTGAATAAATCTATTATTTTATGTCATGTAAATTAATTGTCATCTAAACTAATGTTTAACATCGATAATGATGAATAGCATTATACAAATTTCATAGCAAATATCTGACACCCACCACCATTAGTTTTTTTTCTCCCCATGACAGTACAAAGCACTGACGCTTGTGGTGGATATATTGGAGCTCGTACTCTGTTTAGATTCCTGCACGCTAAAATATCATTCAATTCTTATTATATAAAGTACATAAACGTTACTCTCAGAAGTTAAAGAATCGAATAATCAAACAACCCTTTTAACTTTTCTCTCTACTTTTGCTGGATATGTAGCAAAATTTGGTGAAAATTTACTACACTTTTCAATGGGAAAGAAGGGAGGCACCTCATGGTTAACAGCAGTCAAGATGGCCTTCTGGTCTCCTGACAAAAAGAGCGGGAGGAGGAAAGTAGATCATCAACGAAGAGAAGATGAGGATGAAAAGGTGACATAATTAATGTTATCAAGATGATAGATTTCTCTACTTTTTTTTGAAAGCTTGCGTGTTTGGTTATTAGTTTGTATTCATAAGTTTTTGTTTTGTACAGAAGGAGAAGAGAAAATGGCTGTTCAGGAAGGCTTCCAATCAAGCTCACCAAGAGAGTGAAGCAAAGGTAGCAGCTGCAAATAGTAGTGTTCTCTTACCTACTGAGCAGAGGCATGCCATTGCCATGGCGGCAGCCACGGCCACAACAGCTGAAACTGCCGTAGCTACAGCTAAAGCTGCGGTGGAGATAATTCGGTTAACCGGCCAGCAATCCAAGATGGATTCGAATTCGAATTCATTTAGAAGACACTCTGCAGCCATACTCATTCAAACAGCTTTTAGAGGATACCTGGTTGGGATTTCATATACATTAGCTTAGTTCTTCTCTGTTTCTTCTGATAATTATTTGTTCTGAGAAAGGTTTCATCTCTGTGTAGGCAAGGAGGGCTCTTGTTGCACTCAGGGGGATTGTAAAACTTCAAGCTTTAATCAGAGGACAGAATGTGAGGAAACAAGCAAAGATGACACTAAGATGCATGCAGGCTCTACTCCGAGTTCAGGCTCGTGTTCGCGATCAACGTGCACGGCTTTCCCACGATGGAGGCCGGAGGTCCATGTTCGCCGAAACCACCAACTTGTGGGAATCTAGGCACCTAAAAGACATCAGAGACAGGAAGTCCATGGTAAGTTGTGTTCATTGTTACTACAAACGGTTAAAAACACTGTTGGTCGGTTAACTTCTATGAATTAGTCCAGTTGATAAGTCACATTTTCTGTTAGTCAAACTGATGGAAATGGCAGAGCACGACCAAATTGAAATAACGTTTTAAGTTCAGTTGCACCAATTCACAGTCTTGTGATACTAATTCTACAGTCTAGAGACAGAACCTGTATTATCGATGATTGGAGGGACTGCCCACACACACTAGAAGAACTCAAAACAATCTTGAAAGCCAGAAACGAAGCTGCTTCAAATAATGATCAAAAGTCTCTGGCTTATGCTTTCTCTCAACAGGTTTCACTCTATTACTATCTTTTAAAAATAATTGATCACTTCATAGTTTAGAATCAATGTACTAACATTTTCAGTAATACTTTACATATTCACCCATAAACAAGATATGGGATTGTGATTCAAATCCATATGCAGAAGAAGAACATGAGCCAGAGGAAGACAGTACGAATTGGCTAGATAGCTGGATGAGCAGAGACTCCACAGATCATAAAAGAGATTCAATCAAGAACGTTGAAATCGATACCTCAAATATGAATCTTCCCTCTAGAAATTCACACTACCGTAGTCCAATCCACAGACAATCATTCCCAAATTTTGCTGCTTCTCCCCACCATAGTTCAGTTTACAATGTCCCTAGAGTCCCACAGCCAATTACGCCATCTCCAATATCCAAAACCAGATACCTACAAGTGCGTTCAGCAAGCCCTAGATGCTTAAAGGAGGAAAAAAGCTACTCAACAGCAAATACTCCAAGCTTACGCTCCACTAGTACTCACCGCATTAGCAGTAGTAATTACCGCTACAATAATTGTACAAATGAGGCTGCCGGAAATGCTGCAATCCCTAGTTACATGGCGGCAACTGAATCCGCAAAAGCTCGAATTCGATCGCAAAGTGCTCCACGACAAAGGCCCTTCACGCCGGAAAGAGATAGAAGCGGATCGGCGAAGAAACGGCTGTCTTACCCGATACCCGACCCGCATTTTCTGAATGTCGGGTTTAGGTGTCCAATCAGTATAAGCCAGAATTTAAGAAGTCCCAGCTTCAAAAGTGTTCAAGCAGGCTATGTAGGAATGGAGCAACAGTCAAATCGATCTGATAGCATTGGTGGAGAAATTTCTCCATGTTCAACTACTGATTTGAGAAGGTGGTTAAGATGAGTTTCCCTGCTTAATTCCGAGAAAATTAGCTAAAAAAATCTTTGAGCCCTAATTGTTGTGTTTTTCCCAATTTGATAGAAGAACGAGGCAGCAAGAGTGTGTGATATCTTTGTCCTGGGTTTTTAGCTAAAAGTAGAAGTGAAGAAGTTGGATATTCTTATGGTTTCCTTTTCCAAGCTTATCTAATTTTCCATAGAGTTCATTTAGATATGGCAATTGATTTTATTTTTTTTTTTCTAGATATTTTCCTCTTTACTTGATTTCAATGATTTTCTTAGTGACATATGTATTGAGTAAATATAACCAATAATCACTGAACTTTACACTTAGTTACTACTTGCTCACTCATCTTTCACAGATTACTGAATGCTCACTCATCTTTTCATATAATTACTCATTCACCACTCGTCTCTTCAAATAATTGGGCGACTTTTACGAAAAATTTTCGACAACTTTCGACCACAAAGAATGTCGAATTTTGATACCGTTAGAAAGCCTATGATGTCCTCTTCAATTACCACCCAAAATCTCATTATAAATCCAAGGGATTCGATTGGAAAATTGCCTTAAAAGTTGTCCAAAAATTCTGAAAATCTGCAGAGATTTTCAGATTTTTTGGGCAACATTTAGGGCAATTTTTTGACAACTTTCAACCATCAAAACTATCGAATTTTGATACCATTGGAAAGCCCACAATGTCCTCTTCAATTACCATCCAAAATTTTCTACTCAACCGAGTTCTAACACGTCAAAACCGAAAGGGTTTCTTGAAGATTCGGTGACCAAGTTATCTTTGTAGGTCAAACACTTATCATATATTTGGTCTCGTGTATTTTTAAATCTAGACTTTAAACCAAGAATAACTTATCAATTGAACAAATGACTCGTTGATTAAACTAGTGATCCGTTGACCTAGTCCATCCATTGGATTGGGTTTGAAAATTATGACCATTTGGATTTGAAACATCTTTGTGCGTCTTATATCAACCATTGAAAAGAGTAGGATTGTTACTTCAAAAACAAGAATATATAAATACAATACGATAAGAATAAAAATTTACATTTAACAAACTTGTAAAAAAGTTTCACAAATCAGGTGTTAAATAATAATAATAATAATAATAATAATAATAATAATAATATACCATTCTCTTTTTCACCCCTAATAACGTATTTGAATCTATCAAATACATTTCTATCCCATTCCAAAATCTACCATCATCACGATCACCCCATTTCTCCAATTCTCCATTCGCCACCACCACAATCTCCTTCTCTAATTGCTCTGTTCTCCACCTCCACCACCAATATCCCCCCCATCTTTCCCAAAATCCTCATAGCGGCCATATTATCACACGTAATCCGCAAATACTTCCCTATCTCTTTTGAAGCAACAATTAGCTAGTTTGGTTCACATCCGAACGCCAGTTGTGAAGTGAGCACCTATGCTTTTTAGCCCTCAATTATTAGAGAAGAAACACCTCTGTGTAACACCTTTAAAGACTTTCCCACATATAAAATTACGCCCAATTACTAAGATCAAAGCTCAAAGATGGGAGTGATTACTACTAGACAGCACTTTGGGTGACCATAAGGAGGCAGGTGACTCTATAAGGTGAAAGGTCATCAATTTCAAAGCTGATTGCATGCAGCTGATTATCCAATTCTACCTTCTTTGATGATGATTCGATGGTGGTGGTTGGTTTCTTCCGACAGGCGATAGTGAGTCCATCTCCACCATTGATCAGATTATCCATTTTTATTGTTAAATTTGTTGAAAGTTTTTCTTACTATTCTTTCAGCAAGTCAAAAATTGATGAGTCATAAAGAATTTTTTTTAGTGGATGAGTAGATCGAGAGAAGTAGTGAAGAATGGGTAAAGTGTTTTGTATTTAATATTAATATTGATATTTTCAACTAGAGTTTGCATTAGTGTTAACATTTTTCTGAACGAATTTGTGACCAGATTTGTCTTTAGCGTGAGTGACCTGGTTTATTTTAACTTTGGTAGCACATAACCAGTTATTTCTTATATGTGACTATCTATGATCAAATCTTTCTTAAATGTAACTATATGTAACTTACTGTAATCAAGTTTGTCTTCATTGTAGTTGTCTATGATCATATCAGTCTTTAACTGTGACTGTAGGTGACTGAGTCTCTATTAATTTGATCACATAGAATCATAATTAATAATGATCTAGACACATACAGTCAAAATAAATAGATATTTTGTCACAATCGATTACAATTAAATACAAACTTGATTACAGAAGGTCATCGTTAACATACAATGAACATAACACCCAAATCATCATTTTTCTCCTTTCCTTGCCAGTGCTGAGACCAAAAATCGAATTGCCTTAACCCGTCACATCCTCCACATTGTGCTAGAGTTTTTCTATATACTAGTACGATGCACGTGAAATGCTGTAATTGAGTACATAATAGCGTAGAAAAGATATGATGATAATTAGTCGAGTTTTGTCTTTGTTGTTATTTGATGAGTTTTAGAGCCGGGATATTAATATTTTTTGTCAGTGAATGTAAAATTTATAGATAAAAACTCCATGTAGAACAGTAGAAGTACACTAGACAAGATAAATAGAGGTTGATATAGTCGATGACAAAACTTGAACTTATACAATATCAAGTGACAAAAGCCTTATGAAGGCAGTTATACATTTTTGCTACAAAATAAAGGCTCGTTTCAACTTCAAAATCATCATGAAGTTATTGTTTATTTCAGTTAACATTAAACTTCATGGTAATAGTTATCATGCAAATCGGAGCTACAAAATAAAACAAAGATGTTCGTTGATAGGGGCATTTCTATGGCAAAACGAGCAAAATAAACTTCTAGGTCGTAGCACCGATATTATCTGCAAAAACATATGATGATAATTAGTAGAGCTTTGTCTTTATTGTGACTTGATGAGTTTTAGAACTGGGGATATCAATACTTTTTTCAGATGGTATATCTAGAAGTAATGGCTCCGTTGAAGTTTCAAATAGCACTCATTTTGCGGACGGCGTGGATGTTTTTTTATTCTCAGAATTTGAGTTTATTTTAGCAAAGTATATAGAGCGTTTATCTTTATCTTTCTCAATTAGTTGTTCCCTTATGATGGCAATGGAAGGAAGAGCATTCAGAAATTTCATATTTGTATTAAGTAGTGTTTTACTCTAGTTGTGTGACCTTGATGTAAAAAATGTACTCGTTTTCAGCGTCCATTTAGATGATTGTAGCAAATGATGGATTGGTTTCGTGTTGAAGATGTGGATGAAGAAATATTATTTCTATGCATGTATGAAAAGTTTGATTGATGCTGTATGATATGTGTACTTATTGTTTTTGAACAATTCATCAAACTTTCAGCACTATACTTCAATAGTGTCTCAGCAGGGTTCCCAATTGCATTTGCATTTAAAATTCCACTTGCATCTTCTAGTTGTAGAGTCACATTTGCTCTATGGGAATGAAAAATGGGCACATTTATTATTATGAAAAGAATGGTTAAAATGCATAGAGATATGATAAGTGTTAATATATATATAAGTAATAAATTGTACTAAGTGTTATTTGGGTACAGCCTTCGCAGAAGGATGTTTACAGTAAATACATGGGAAAGTATCACCAAAATTAGCACGAGAGACTTTATTGCTATTGTCACAAGACATGTACAAAAAAGTTTGTTTTGTTGTTTTGATGGATCGTTTAGCTTTGATCCAGTAGTATTTACGCTGTGAAAAACTCTAATATTAAGATAAAAAAAAATAACAGAAATGTATTCATCAAAGATTGGAAGAACCCATTATTTTTCAATCAAATGAAATGAGTTACCCCAAGTAACCGCCCTTTGAGATTTTGTATTTGTGTACATTTTTTGAATGCTGCAAGAGATAACTTGGTGAGAGTGATTGTACGATATGTTTTCTCCAGTGCAAAATCATTTAGTTCTTCATTATGTGCTTCAATACTCGCTGCAGTAAGATGATTAGATAAGTAAAAAGTTAATTATTAGTGAGCAAAATCAAAAGTCTTTACAGCAAGTATTAAATTTAGGGTGAAGAAAAAAAATATTCGAAGTTGGATATGGATAAGATGATGATGATACATAGTTGATAGCGAAATTGTGTTGAAAGATTTTCTATATTGTATAAGCATCATACCATGTTCTGAATTCTGCAACTTGGCTAAAAGTAGCATCTATAAAGAATGTACTAATGATTTTGATTGATAGTGTAAGGCTTGTGTTAAATATTAAATATCAGTCCCTAGTTGTATAGAATCATATTTCGTTATCTGAATAGTAATAAGTTGTCTGGCATGTATATTTAATGTTACTGTTAAATGACGAAACTTTTAATTGAGTTGCTAAAATCACAGGCTTTTTTGCAATATTTTTTTGCAATCAGAAGACATTTTTTTTCGACATAGCCATCCAACATAGTTAAGATTATTGTGTGGAAGGTTTTATTGATTAGTAAAATATCATGCACATATGTTTGGTTTCCAAACCGTGTTTGAATGAGATGCTTTGGACATATGTCAACAACAACTACAAGTATGCTTGCGTAGATATCATGTGCAAAAACTTTAGTTGAAGAGTAGATAGTTATGTGTATACGTGTTCTTGAATGAACTGACATAAAAAATGCAAGGTATACTTATGGTTATGAGAAAGATGAGAAATGATTGACTAGAAATTACTTATATCATTGTTGGAATCCATGTATTTTTCTAGCTCTGGAAAAGGAGTGAAAGTGTATGTTGAAAACAAGAATTCCATGTTGTTTTCATTCATTTCTTGAACACGTGTCTTTCCTGATATCGTCCATTGCACATTACCATTTGAAGCTCTATATTCAGGCTTTGTGTACTTAATAAGAGCATTTGAAATGATGTATGTTTTGCTCAATTGAAGCCGATCTTCAAAGGCAATAATATTCACATCATACAGTGTTGTGTGTACAGTGTTTTCCTGTGATAGTTTCAAATATAATTGAAAACAAATATTTGTTTCATGTAGTAATAATCTTTAAGAAACAGAAAATGCAGAAGTGTAGACTATATCTATTTATTGGTAGTCGTTTACCTCTAGATCCATTAACACCATATTTTGATATCGACTATTACTGTGTTTTGCCTGCTTTGGTGCTAATTTTTCAGTAACCATTACTTTTGCTTGCCAGGTTTTCTCATTTGGATTGATCTGTCGTATGAACT